TTGTAGGATCCATGTCAGTGGTGATCTAGTTATGACAATCAAGGCAATCGGTGGTCGTTTCAGGTCAATGAAGTTCTGTTCATCAGTGTTTTTGGCGAATCGCTACTGAACGATGGTGTGGCAGTTGTGGGTCTCTTTTATAATTATGTTTCTCACGAATTTTGCAAAATACCGCTCAAATGAACATGATTAGGTGAAAATTCGCATGTATCCTTCAATTTATGTTTCTCGTGGCTTCCATGCGCTCCTAGTTACCTCACGGCTGGCTCGTGCGTCCGAGGATCTACACCTACACACCGCCTGAAAATTTCTTCCTGTGAATTGCGAGCACCACATTGCTGAATATGGGACCTCCTTGTTGAGAAAAAGAGTGCTCAGGCATAAAAGGCACTGTGTTAGGCATGAAAAAAAATATATGAAATGCTATACGCATTAAAGCTGTCATTGCTGTAATGCGACGCTGACCTCGTACAGTCAATACTTTGAGAAATGACGACCTGTAGGTTTGCAGATGGCCTGGCTAAGCCGTTTCACTTTATATATATGACATCTTTGTAGTCAATCAGGTGTTTTTCTCCAGATTCAGACATTTAGGTGCTTCTCTCCTGATACAGCAGTTCGAGTGTTTTTCTTGAAATACAGTAATTAAGGTATTCTACCGTATGTTCGCCTCGTTCACCGAGATTGGACCGGAGAATCTCATCACAATGGACTATGTTAATGGTGCAATTTCGTATTTAGTTGTGTGCTTCGGTGGAATAGGAATCGGACTTTTGGTCGCTCTTTGTGCTAGTTTTATAACGAAGTGAGTAGGTTTCATGTTTTGTAAAGGGGTTTTCTTATGAAAGCAAAAAATGACAGTAACATCTTTTCGAATTTTCCAAGATCGGAAACATTTCAAATCCATTGCCAGTCTGCGTTCGATTTCTGAAACTTTTGGGCGTACCTACAGTAACCATCAACTGTTGTAACACTGCAACAGATTCCTATACAGAATCACCTTCTCAAAAATTACGAAACGATTCACTATTCTATTGTGTATTCTGTTCGGTGAAAATGTAGTTGGGGGGTGCCAGCACTCTTTTGTACTGTGCGTCTCTGACACTGGCGGCAGAGTGCATAGAGATGGCACAGATGGATTCCTCCCCTTCTAAAAGTTAGAGGAGGAGCTCCGGGGTGGGAGAGATGAATATTTCGTGCAAAAAGCTGGGATGGGGTAAAAATTGAACATCCAATTGGTTCACCCACCCCGGAGCTCCTTCCCTAACTTTTGGAAGGGGAGGAGCTCCGGGGTGGGTGAGCTGATTAGATGGGTA